AAAACACAAAAATATAATAATCATGAACAAAAAGACGACGAAAAATTATAGACTAAACAATAGAACAATTAGATATCGTTATTATAGATAAAAATATTCACCAAAAAAAAATAGATTAAACAATAATCAAATTTTATATCGATCAGACTGTCATGAAGTATAAATTGGAATGCAGTTGTTGCAGCCGGTTATTTGATCGGTTGACTCACTACTATTACAATCCATAACTTGACCTATGCGATACGATTATGTACAATATGGGTCTTACTGTTTGCTTTTTTGATATATGTTGTATCCAACTTATTCAACTTGATCATCTCATTATTTACTAAAGCTCATTTGTCCTTAAGCATATTGGAAATTATAAACAACGCTGATAGACTTTAAGCGACTCAAACACGCAGTTACAGTTTAGGGTATTTATAACCGATCCGTTGTGGAACCTGACCCGCTTTGGGATCTTCATAAAGTAGAATTAATATAGAATGCAAGTATGAGAAAAGAGTTGCACTATTAAGCTATTCAGTTCCTATATGTTATAAAAAATGAATTGCTTATTTAACAATTTTTTAAATGTGACTCAATTTCATTTAAAGCACTTTTATTCATGTTGAGATTAATTCTTTGGGGACGTTAATAGATATGATTAGAAGTTTTCTTAGATTAATCGATGGATTGGACGATTTAAAAAATAAACAATCTCACTCGAGTTCAAAAAATTCTAGTTTCTTTTCTTCTGTTTAGTTCTTGAAATGTCAACACATTTCAAAAGAAACAACGCCCACGTTCGATTTTGAAAAAGTTGATTCACGCAAAAAAGAATGTATAAGAGATAAATTATCTAAATATAAATTTTGGAAAAACTAATAGTTTAAATTAAAATACAGAAAAAAGTCAGTGATTCCGACTCTCACTTCTTGAAAAGTGATAGCACTGGATTAGAGCTTTTGATAAAATGAGCCATCTATCTGAAAAAATTGTTGAAAAGACGACTGGTTCAATTGAAATTGACTAATAACCAACTGAATAAATAAGAATATATGAAAGAACAGCATAATGTTTAACGGTTATTTTTAGAAATTCATCAATTCCATATTGTACTATAAAATGGTAGAAAGAGTCGATCGAGAATATCGAAAAATGAAACTATCATATCAAAATATTGAAACATCAATAGAATCAGTCGAAATTTCTCAATGAGAACTCGGTTAACGAAGAATCATATTTTCAATGAACGGGTCAAAATGAACATTTTCGAAAGGTTGATCAGTTGGATATCATTTTTTTAAGTCCATAAAATGAATTGATATTTTGTATGACAATGATAAAAGTCCTCGACTTATTATTACATACTGTTTCGAGCACTTATTATAGGACTTGAAAAAGATCAACAATAATCTTTAATTTAATATCTTTTGATTAACTAATTTTGTTGATTTTCTGATTTATTTTTTTAAATAAATATTGAAAATAATATACAATAGCATTTTGTATCGTTAAAATGAATTTTCAAAAAATTAAAGAATATTTTTGCTAAAATCTTTCAACATTTTTTTTTATTTGTGAAGTAATTCGATAAAATAATGTGTTTTCCTTCAATGAACTATTACTTTGTGACAGCGGCAACGTATATGAAAAACACTTTTATTGAAGACCAAACTTTGAAATATGTGATACTTATTTGCTTCTACCTTCATATAAACGATACAAAGGCAGAAGAAGATCAATTCGTTTAATCATGTTCTAAAATAAACAGAACGTCATCACGAATGTTTGTTATTTTTTATTGATAGTTCTACCAAGTGAGATAAGCAATAAAGCTTATCATTCTTATGATATTCAAGCATTTTTTCATTTTCTTGAATGATAGAAGAATAGTTAATACTAAGCGGAGTTGATTTGAGTCAATACGAGTAAAAAGAAATTATTCAAACAATAAGCGATTCGCAATGGTTTTGTTTTATCATGTCACCCTCCTAATGTAAAACTCAGATATAGTATCTTTAATATTAAATATACTTTAACATAATCATTTCATCGATAAATTTCGAACAGATCGAAACGAAAAATATTATTTCAATCAAGAAGTCATATTTTGTCTTAATTAAGGTAAGTATATATGAGTCTCGTCTTTTGAAGGCTAATACGATTCGCAGTATTGCGACTACGTCTGGTCATTATGGAAAGTT